CAACAAATGACTGATGCTTTAAATGAACAAATATGCTATGACAATGTTCAATCAGCAGAGGATGCAGTTCCGAGTCTAAACGCCCAAGAAATCTTTCCTGATTTAAAGAAAGGAATAAAATTGCCAAAATCGCCATTACAATGGTCTACTGCTAACGACTTTTTTCAACTCACTCTTTCAAATTACCCAGTCACAACCCAAGAAATCAATAAAAGTATCAATACCATGGCAACAGTGATATACAATTACTTCAGTGATAATTATGGATTTGTTGACGCCAACAATAACAACGAATTTGAATCAAAGTATAAGTCATGTTCGGCTAAGGAGCTTAAAAAAGTATTAAAAAATTTAAAGTGCAAAAACGGTGATCTGAAAGAAATCAAATTTGTTGCTAAAAAGCTGCGTTGTCTTCTTAGTAAAAATAACACCGACCTACAACATGCTGATGTCAACGTGTCAGATAACATTGATCACGACAAGTTATTCAATAATAATTTCTGGGGTTACGTTAAAAAATTTCTTAAGAAAAAAACAGAATCGTTTCCAACATTTGGTCTTGCCCAATGTACAGCTTACTTTACTAAGACACTTTCCGCAGTTATTCCAAATAAAACATTCAACATTCCTAGCTGGATTCCCAAGTTTAATTCCCCAACAACACCATTTAATCTTGACCCTCCGACCTATAATGAGATTACAAATGTCATTCGAAAGATGAAACCGTCTGGCTCACCGTGCCCTCTCGACCAAATATCTGTTATCTGTCTTAAACGCTGCCCATATCTATGTACTTATTTAACTGAAATTATCCATGCTGCCTGGTCATCTGGTATTGTTCCATCAGAATGGAAAAAAGCGTGCACGATATTGATTCACAAAAAAGACGAAACTGACAATCCCGCTAACTTCAGACCAATAACTCTAGAATCTGTTCCGCTCAAAGTTTTTACGTCGTGTCTTCGTAACAAAATTTTCGCTTTCCTATTTGAAAACAATTACATAGAACATGACATCCAGAAAGGTTTTACCCCAAACGTTGCAGGAACTGTTGAACATACAGCCCATATGGCGCACATAATCAACACAGCCCGTATAAAACAAAGGTCACTTGTAATCACTTTACTCGATCTGAAGAATGCATTCGGTGAACTACATTACAACCTTATTTACAAAGTTCTTCAATATCATCATATACCTGATCCTATAAATGAACTAATCCGGAGTCTTTATACTAACTTCCAAACATCTATCATAACTGAAAAATTCAGTACCTCTTTCATTACCGTCGGCCGTGGCGTTTTACAAGGTGACTGCCTTAGTCCACTCCTTTTCAATATGTCCTTTAATACCTTCGTACAACACATTAAATCTGAATCATTCCTGCAGCTTGGTTTTTGGAAATTTAATAAAACTGGTATTCCGTGTAATCCAATTCATTGGTTCCAGTTTGCAGACGACGCGGCTGTCATTAGTAGCCAAGAAAAAGAAAATCAAATCCTACTCAATCGCTTCTCGGTATATGGTGTCAATGGGCCAATATGATTATACGTGTTGACAAGTGCTCTACGTTCGGTATTAAAAAACACTCATCTAAATCTGTTCAATATCAACCTAAATTGTTTATTAACCACCTACTTGTACCCCGTACCGAAACTGGTGAATCTTTCCGCTACCTTGGTCGTTATTTTAATTTCAACATGTCAGATGAAAAACACCAATCGGATATATGTGACTTGTTTAATAATATCATATCTAAAATAGATGAATTACATTTGCACACCCGAAATAAAATCCTGCTATACAGTCGCTACTTGCTCTCGAAAATCTCATGGGACTTCACAATAACTGATATATCTCAAACATGGGTTTGCGAGACTTTGGACGGTATTGCTACTAAATATATACGAAAATGGCTCGAACTGCCAATATCTGCAACTCTAAGCAATGTCTATCTCCCTTACAACAAATTTGGTTTAAATGTCATTCTACCTTCAACGAAGTTTATACAGTGCCAAACTGTCTCACGCTTAGCTTTAAAGTCATCGATAAATGAAAACATACGTGAATTATGGTCAATAACAAGCACCAATAGGAACATTCAGTACGACATTTACTCAAAAAAACGAACAGCGACTACAAAATAACCTAATTTCACAAGGTTCTTTTTTCTCAAACATCGTGAAAAACTCCACGTTGGCATTCAATTCCCTATGGTCATCGGTTCATTCAAAACTTCCTAACTTCCTTCAAAACTTCGAACTTCCTAAAACTTCCTTCAAAACTTCGACGTCGGAAGGTCCAAAATGTATGTAGATCTGCCTGGATTTATTAGCCCATCTGTCATCACTGGTGACGAGTTACGACCAGACCTTCTATTGACAATTGAAAATAAGATTTTGTACATTCTAGAATTAACTGTTGGATTCGAAACAAACCTGACAACTAACTCAGATCGAAAACATGAAAAATATTTGACTCTAATTACCGATCAAGAAAATATATATGATGAAGTTAAGTTTGTTAATGTATCTATAAGCTCTTTAGGTGTATTTGGTGAATCGACGAATACTTTATTTGATATGCTCCATGATCTGAAGTACGACGAACAATGTATTAAATATGTAAAAAAGAAAATAATTGCTACTTGTATTCGCACGTCGTATTATATATTCTGTAGACGAAACAAAGACTGGAACAACCCAGAACTTTTAAACTTTTAACTAATTTTTAAATATTTTCACCTGTATATATATATTTTAGCTTTAAATTCAATTCAAGTGGACATCGATAAGCTACCTTTTATTAAGTGAGGTTTATCAATGTATATATAGTATATCGTAAATATCTAATAAAAAGTTTCCATTATTATTATTATTATTATTATTATTATTATTATTATTATTATTATTACTGTCTCACGCTCAGCTTTAAAGTCATCGATAAATGAAAACATACGTGAATTATGGTCAATAACAAGCACCAATAGGAACATTCAGTACGACATTTACTCAAACACAAAAGATGTATAGAAGGCATTTAGACAAAGAAACGAACAGCGACTACAAAAAAACCTAATGTCACAAGGTTCTTTTTTCTCGAACATCGTGAAAAACTCCACGTTGGCATTCAATTCCCTATGGTCATCGGTTCATTCAAAACTTCCTAAGAACATATTTAACTTCAGTCTACGTTACATCAACAATTCTTTGCCTACTAGGAAAAACTAGGCCTAGTTAAATGGGGTCTGTCATCATCTGCTGACTGTTCGTTCTGTTTCTGTCCTGAATCGCTTTTGCACGTAATCTCTGGATGTAAGACATATCTAAACGAAAGGAGATATACATGGCGACATGATTCAGTTTTGAATCTCATTACGTCCAGCCTTCTCGACGTCGGAAGGTCCAAAATGTATGTAAGATCTGCTTGGATTTATTAGCCCATCTGTCATCACTGGTGACGAGTTACGACCAGACCTTCTATTGACAATTGAAAATAAGATTTTGTACATTCTTGAATTAACCGTTGGATTCGAAACAAACCTGAAAACTATCTCAGATCGAAAACATGAAAAATATTTTACTCTAATTCCCGATCAAGAAAATATATATGATGAAGTTAAGTTTGTTAATGTATCTGATAAGCTCTTTAGGTGTATTTGGTGAATCGACGAATACTTTATTTGATATGCTCCATGATCTGAAATACGACGAACAATGTATTAAATATGTAAAAAAGAAAATAATTGCTACTTGTATTCGCACGTCTTATTATATATGCTGTAGACGAAACAAAGACTGGAACAACCCAGAACTTTTAAACTTTTAACTAAATTTAAAAGATTTTCACCTGTATATATATTTTAGCTTTATATTCAATTCAAGTGGACATCGATAAGCTACCTTTTATTAAATTAAGTGAGGTTTATCAATGTATATATAGTATATCGTAAATATCTAATAAAAAGTTTCCATTATTATTATTATTATTATTATTATTACTATTATTATTATTATTATTATTATTATTATTATTATTATTATTATTATTATTATTATTATTATTATTATTATTATTATTATTATTATTATTATTATTCGGGTATTGCGATCACAGTTACTCGTACCGTGTGATAGATTTAAAGTTATAACTTTGGAAGTCACTACTCTAGGCTTCGTCACGAAGAGTATAGGCCAATTTCGTAGGCTATGTAGGTTGTTACATTTGCAAGACGATCGTATCATAACAAAATGTATGGAGGTTGCACTTCGTGCCACTTTCTACATATTTTGTAAGAGAAATAAGAACTGGTTTTGCCCTGAAAAGCTCAACTTCTATTAGCTACTAATGTGTGACAGTGTAGATAACGGACCTGCTTTATTCAGAGAACTGTTGTCTTATTTATTAAGTGTAGTTAGGTAAAATTTGGTCTGGACTCATAAATGTATGACTATATGGGTCAGGCTATGTAATTGATTTGTAACGGTTTAAAAAAATTATTATTATTATTATTATTATTATTATTATTATTATTATTGGACCGAAAAATATATTCCGACTATCTGGAAACGTGCTGTTGCGGTACTCATTTACAAAAAGGATTCACCTGACAATCCTGCTAATTTTCGCCCAATTGTTTTAGAGCCAGTCATGTTGAAAGTTTTCACCTCTGCGTTAAGGAACAAAATTTTCAAATTCGTGCGCGATAATAAATATATCGAAACAAACATTCAAAAGGGTTTCTGGCCAGGCTTGTCTGGTACAGTTGAACATACCGAACTGTTAAACTATTTATTAAACCACGCCCGCAACAAGCAGCGGTCTATCATTGTCACTCTCATCGATCTCAAAAACGCATTTGGAGAAATGCACCATAACCTGATAAAATCTATTTTAAAAAGTCACCACATTCCTGACGAAATCACTGGTATGATAGAAAACCTTTACACTGATTATGGTATCTCAATCTTGACGAAGAATTTTATAACCATACCGATATCTGTAGAACGGGGCGTACTGCAGGGAGACTGTTTGTCCCCCTTGCTTTTCAATTTATGCGTGAATTCACTCATTAACACGATAAATGATGAAAGGATACAGTGCCTTGGTTATGTTAATGATATATCCTTAAACCCTCGTCATTGGTTCCAATTTGCGGACGATGCTGCAATTATATCTGCACATAACGAAGACAATCAACTACTGTGCAATGCATTTAGTAAATGGTCCTCTTGGGCAGACTTATATATCCGAGTAAATAAGCCACACTTTTGGGATCAAAAAGTTTGGGACAAAAGCAGTCCAGTATAAACCTACTATAAAAATCTCTGGTCAACAGGTTCCCCCAATCGAGGACGGTGAAAGTTTTATGTATTTAGGTAAACAATTCAATTTTGAAATGGATTGTACTGAAACCAAAATTGAGATCCTTGATGAAATCCAACACTACTTAAAGAAAATTGATCTTATCCCAATAAATCCATTTTCGAAAATACGCGTGGTTCAAAGTTAAGTCTACTCAAAGTTCTTCTGGCGTTTTTCAATCTACTCACTTACTATAAGCTGGATACATTCTAATCTGGACTCTATAATTTCCAAATATATCCGGAAATGGCTCCAGATCCCAATCAGCGGTAACATTAGTCATCTAAAGCTTCCTAAATTACAACTGGGAATTGATTTCTGTTCCCCCTCTGACATATATAATCAATGTAAACTGACAGTGCGCAGAATCCTGAGGAGTTCTGTCAACTCCGATATTCAACAGCTATATACCAAAACGTCATCAAAAAACATCGTCATTGATGATATTATTGAACGGGCGGCTGCTAGTATCTCTGAACAATATATGTTAAGAAACGCTGCAAAGAAGATTCTGGTAAAGAAAACCCTTAACGAAATTTGGTCAAACTTTGTAGAACTAAAAGAACAATCCGTGATCATTACCTGCTTAACTGATACTTGCTATAAGAAGATGATTAAAGTATGGCACGAAATTGTCACTCGAATGCCCAGCAATATAGTATGCTTTGCTAGGAGAGCGTTAGTTTTAAGTTTAGGAAATAATTCTAACCTAAAGCGCTGGAACATTCGTGACTCCGCCAACTGTGAGCTGTGCAACAAGTTACAAACCCAGCTACACGTTTTTTCCAACTGCAAGGTAGCCCTAGAACAACAACGCTATACTTGGCGGCATGACTCGATTCTGATGACTATTATTCATCACTTAAAAGTTGCAGTTGGTGCACATCTTCGACTGTTTGCTGACTGTCCTAATTCAGGTACGACCTGTACTTCAACTTTATTTCGAACGCTAAGACCTGATATAGTGGTGGATTTTAAGGGTTCTGTATATGTGGTTGAATTAACTGTTCCCTACGAAACCAATTGTACGAAGGCTAAACGTCGCAAGAAAGAAAGATACAGACATCTAAGATCTGAGCTGATCACGGCGTGTCATGCGTTTGAAGTTATTACACTTGAAGTAACCACTTTAGGGTTTGTGTCGAAAGATATTGACAGATTTCGTAGATTATTACGAACAC